GGATTACGATATTCTGAGGATGTCCTGATTTATGTTCATGGTCCTGTGTGCAGTAGTTCTAATGAAAAACTTTAGTAGTACTAAAATAGGCTCATTTTGTCACTAAAGTTTAAGCTGTCAAAAAAAAAAAAATCCCCAACCAACCCACAACAAAAGGGAAGGTGGGGGCTGATTGTGACCTGGTGTTTCTCATCACTGCTAGATGTAGTGGGATTGCTTATATACCAGCTTTAAGATAAGACTATGCCCTAAAATGTGTGGGGAAAAAAAAATGGTGGCTTAAACTAGAAATTACAAATTACTTATTGAAGTAATAAAGTTGATGATGCAATTTCTTTGTGTAAAGGCGTTTACCTGATTAGAGGTCTCCAAATGTTTTCTAAAGTAGAATTCCTAATGACCTGCATCACAAATGAATGTCTGTCCTTTCATTCTTCTCGTGTTGGGCATTTAATTTCCTTACCTAAAAAATAAATCGAACTTCAGAAATCCTTTGCATGTTTCTGCCCATGGGAATATGTTGATTTTGGCAGTGAAATATTTTCTAGCAGTGCTTTCTGGAGACTTTCTGTGCACTCTTGACTCCCTGTGCTGCTTTGAGGGTGAGAGGAAAGATGGTTTGCCTGTAGAGTACCTTCAGTTTTTTAACTGTTGTAGTTGAGAGATTAGGAACCAAATGTTGGAATACGGGCTGCTCTGATCCTGAAGCTTCTAGGGAGGAACAAAGAGTAGTGGAGGACTCAGAAAGGTGCAGTTCTTGGAACCAGCCACAATAAATCTGTGGTAGTGAAAGGATCTTGCACCATTTGAACCAAAACTGAGAAGCAGAACTGATCTGTGAGAATGACGCTTCTGTCATTTAGATAAGTGATGGGTATTTCTGCACAAGAGGGAAGCTTTTAAAAAACCAACTACTCCAGTATCAGCAGACCCTTAGACATATACAAAAGTATGCTAAAAGACAGAACCAAAATTTAAGACAAAACATCTTGACTGGACCAGAAAACACAGGGTTCTTCCTTGCACTCTGAATGCAATCCTGAGGGAGTCACTGCCTCCTGTAGGCTGTGCCTTGGGGTGTTGTGCCTGCTGTGGTGGTCAGTTCCTGGTTTGCTTCTCCCCCAGAGAAAAGGAGCAGCTTCCTCTTTTTTTCTGTTTGTATTAACTGACAGTAACCCAAAGTTTGGGCATCATTTTAAGTTATGGAAATTAACATCTTGCACAAGACAACATTGTGCCTTTTTGGTCTCTTGGGTTGGCTCATTTGTTGCCCCTAGAGCTCTCCCAGTGAACTGCTTGTCCTTTGCAGTATAAAACATCACTGATGCTGGCACAGATGATGCCACAGGGATCATATTGGCAGTGGTATATTAAATTTGAAAAACGAAGTTGGACCTAGACTGACACATACCTGGTTAGACTTACTGTGAGGCTGGTTTAAGTCCTGGGTACTTCTACAAACCAAAATGTACTCTCTAAATTCTTCCCAGTCAGATACAGCATCCGATGAACACTTATGTGCTAAGCAGATCTTTGAAGAATTTGGGTTACAGGCTCATTTCTAAGTAAAAGAAACTTATGTACCATTCTTGTTTAAAATTACTTTCTGTCCTCTGGGTGTATCTTCTAAAAAAACCTGTGGTCAGCCTGTATGTTCTTCAATTTACAGTCACAATGAAATTGTGATTGTCAAATACTGCCGTAGAGAAAAAAAAATCTGACTACTGTGTTTACATCCTCAAAACCTGAACCAAAAAGAGAATTTCAAGTCCAAATAATATATAAAATGATGTAACTTTTGTTTTTTATTAGCTGTTGGAAAACATGACTGAAGTTGTTAGAAAAGGGATACAGGAAGCACAACTTCAGCTTCAGAAAGCAAATGAAGAACGCCTTCTGGAAGAGGTAAGGCTATAAACGTTATCTAGGTAACTTGAAATAATTTGTGACAACAGGTCACTTGCTCACCAGCCAGTGTTTGGTTGTGTACTTTGCAGGGACTGCTACGACAAATACCTGTAGTTGGCTCTGTGCTGAACTGGTTTTCTCCATTCCAAGCCTCACCAAAGGGAAGAACATTTAATTTAACAGCAGGTAGGACTTGGTGCATCTGCAGCCGTGTTGTGCTGTTGTTAGAACTGTTTCCAATTTTATACTAAAATTGCAACACCCTTTCTTGTGCTGATTTGATCGTGAGTGACATAATCCACCCTCAGGATGTAAAAGAACATACTCTTCACTATTTTTGTAACATCCCGTAATCTTCTAACCTCACTTGTAGAGTTTACATTTTGTTCTTGGATGTTGAGTCATGTTAAAAGCAAGCTATGTTAAACACTGGCATTTATTAATAGAGGAATAATTTCTGTGACTTTTGGCTACATATGCTGCAAAGGTTTGGTATTTATGCTGTGTTTATAAATCTGTAAGCTAGCAGGGCAGCTCAGGTCTGAGGTGGTTGCTTCCCCACCTATCCTCTTGAGCAAGCTTGCAGCACGGTGCTTGGCGGTGCTGCTGGAACGTGATGGCTCTGTCTGAGATCCTGGTTTGAGAGCGCCTCTGGCTAGTGCTGCACTGATCCAGTGTGAGTTTGTGTGCGAAACAGTGCGGCGTCTGACAAGGACAGGCTAAAACCAGCTGAGGACTAGCGTGAACCTGGCTTTGTGGGGGGCAGTAATGAATGGAATATTACAATGTAAAAGACTACTATTTACTCATACATTTGTAATTCATGCCTGGTGATGTGAAAAGAACCGTCTATAGCTTTTACATAATTAAGACTGATGTACTAACATAATACATTCTGAATTTACAAAGTTTCACTGCAAAAGATTGTGGCAGTCTTAAGACTGTTCCTGAACTCAGCAAAGTGTCTTGTCAGACCTAGAACAGTAGCCCAGCTCTCTGTGTGTCTCCATAAACAGCGATGAGGACTTTCTGCTGTATTTGGGATCATTCTTTCTGATTCTTGATGCATCAGCTGGGAGGCTCTTAGGGCAGAGAAGAGCAAGGTTCTGCAGGGAGCCCTTCCGCCCCCTGAGGTGGCCAGCCCTTCTGCAGGCCCCGGGCAGGAGCTCGCAGTGGGCGCATGGCAGGGGCGCGGTGGAGGTGGGATAGAGGACTGCAGGCTCTACTTTATTCACCTCTGTAAGTCTCAGCACTCCTGGCCCCAGGTACTCAGAAACGGATTACCATCAAGTGGCAGTTTCAACTCAAGCATGCAGGTTCAGAAATGTGCATTAAAAGTAAGGTTACATACCTTATAAATGCAGATGAGCATAACACTTGCCTAGTTTGTGTTACGTCTAACTTTGTTGTGTTACTTTTTTTTTTTTTTAAACCTGCAGGCTCTCTAGAATCCACAGAATCTACATACGTATCAAAAGCTCAAGGAACAGGCACCACTCCACCACCAACTCCTACTTCCAGCCTTACAAAGCAAAGACTTCCTGGTAAGTTTCTACATCTTAGTTTTATTTCTAAAACTTGACATCCTGCCATCTTGAGTTGCAAGACACAAGAAGACCCACATGATTTTCTGTCTTTCATAGTGTCCGAAACTACAGCTTATCTTCTAGTTCTTTAAGTCTGCCTTATAAACCTTAATTTAAACATGGCATAGAACACCACCCTAATTGGTTTTCTCCCGAAGAATTCTTCCTGGGACTAGAGGGAAGCTGTTATCCCATTAACTGACAACTGCCCATGAAGTCTGGAATCTTCCTCTGCGATATTACAAGGTTATAGAGTTTTAAAAATTGGCAGGTAAATAAGCCAAAGGTTTTGTTTGAAATAAAAGCATAAATAATGTGTAATCATGTATTTGGGCAACTGCATTTCTGTTGCTACCTAATATTCTGTGGACAGAATCATTCTAAGGTGAAGATCTAGTAAATGTATGAGGCTTTCAGTGTAGTTGTATTAATAATTAACGTTGATTTGACTGGCAGGAAAACCATACATAGTTTTAACTCGCCTTTTGAGCTGGTCCAGCCTGTGATTTTTTTCAGTGGAAGTTTTTACCCTAGAATGACTTCACTGGGCATGCAGGCAGCTTGCTTTTCAGCTGAACTTTCACAGTCTCTGTGTACACTGGATGAAATAATAGATGCTATTGCTTTGCATATGCATCTGTAACTGCAAGAAAGTTACCTCTGTGTTCAGGGTACCAGTTAGCACCCAAATAAAAATCTCTTTGCAGTTGCAAAATTCAGGTACTTTTTGAAACTTAACTTGTCCATACATCTTGGTTTTGCGGCTGTCGTTGGCACTGTATTCATTCTTCACTTTACAGGTCAGAAAATTTTTAAAAGGTCTCTAAGAAGTTCTGATGCGTTCAGTGAGACCAGTTCAGTCAGCCACTGTGACGATCTGGAGAAGATTGATCAGAGACCCCCGACTCTATCCCCTGGCCAAGAGCAAGGAACTCTGGAGACAGAAACACCAGAGGAGCAGAAGGAGGTGGCACAGGCAACAGACACTGAGCACATTCAAAGTGACAAATCGCCACCTGACTGCATGAAGGTAGAGGAACAAGAAAGTCAAAGATAAAATCCAGACTGTGGCTTTCAGACTTTGCAGAGGAAGCCTGTGCCCTGGAGGCAGGGTGGTAATGATGCTTTTGAAATGTGAACAGTGCCACACACTCGTACAGTAACAACTACTGTAACTTATTAACTGGGATTTTGCACAAATATAAATTCCCCCCCATGGGACAGAGATTTGTCTTATCATACACTTGTTACAGTTGCTTTAATCCTCTACATGTCAGTGTCACCAAAGTACTAGTGAAATTTATTAAGTACTCATTAACATTTGTAAAAACAATTGGCAGTTATCCTTCCTGTAGGAGTCTAAGCATGCTAATAGTTGCTAACTAACCAACCAGCCATACACAAGATTCAGAATACAGTTGCACCCAGTAGTTGTAAAATGATCTTATTTTATGTTAATACACTTTAAAATCAATTGCCAATTGTTCACCTTTTTTTAAAAAAAAAAAAAATCAGTTTAGCCTCTCCTGCAGAACATCTACTGAAGTCACACTGGCTCTGTTTCGCTTCTTTTTTTACCTTCTAAAGAGCATTGCCAAACAGCTGTGGTGCGGTGAGCAGGAGGGAGGGATGCCCATGTATATAGGAGTCACTGGTTGTACTTTGCCATCAACCTTTTTTTTTTTTTTTTTTCCTGCTGTTGAATGACCTGATGTGTTCAGCTGAGGCCCTGGGGATGGTGGGGATGGGGAGGCCTGAGCTTTTTAGAGAGAAAGAGAGCCTCTGCATGCCTGAACGGCTTCTTGCTTCTGGAACTGGAAGGACTCACCAACGCACCGTTATCTTCCTTTGCACGCCACTTATAAACCAAATACTATTGAACACATTTATGTAGTGTAACTGGAGTTCTTTCTGTTGTGTATTTTTAAAGATAGTTGTAGTAAAGCTTGAAAAACCAATACATTTGTGATGGTTTCAACACTTAGTTTTTGAATAACAGTAACTTACCTATGGTAGGAATTGTACAGCCTCAAAGAAATTATATAGGTTATTTACACTACAGCACAACTTCATAGTGTCTAGGACTACTTAATGCACAAGCAAAGCTTTGGAGAAATCAGAAGCTAAGGTGTGGAAGTCTTACACTCCCCTCCTCCCCAATGATCTTAAATCACTTTGCTGCAAGTTTTCAGAGCCTCTTGTGGAAGGGAGATCTTTGGAAAAGCTTGCTTTCCCTAAGGTATATGATTTTAAGGAGAACCATCCCATCCCTGTAGAACTGGATACAAGTACTGTAGTTTGCTTCCTTTGTGGTTTGGGTTTTTCTCCTCCCCCTAAAAGGTACACCTTAACATGATAACGGCTGTAGTGGTAGCTGACTGACTACAATAATCTGAAAAATTTGGGGTTTTTGAATTGTACTGTCACCTGATTTGACTCTCAGCTTCTAGATCCTGAACAAGGTTAATTTTGGTGTTGGGGTAATTTATGTAAATCAGAGTGCAATTTTTCTAAAGTGCAAAAATCATTAAGTTGACTAGTCTTCCTCATTGGTTTCTTTGGTGCAATGAAGTATGTTAATAAGAGTAATTTGTGGGGGATAAAGTTATCACCACAAGGGTTAATTTTTAATGTTTTTATATTTGGAAGTGTAAACCAGTAGTTTTGTTGGAATGAGCTTCATTCTTTAGATACTATCTGAATGTTTCAATAAAGATTCTTCAAATTATTACTCTTGAATCAAGTTACTGTTGCAGGATATTTCCCTCTGTTTTGGTAAGTATGTAAAACTTTCACTTTGTTTGGAAAATCATTTTCTGAAGTACACACCAATGTACTGACTTACCTTCTCGGTCTCAGCACTGCTACCTCTCTTCTTCACCTGTGCCAATCAAGTTACTGCACTGGAGCACTAGAACATAAACAAAGCCAACTTCTGACTTCAAAGTAGCAGTGATTCCTACATAAAGAATGCAGAAAGAGCAAGTTACTTCTGTCAAAATATTTTATTTTGAAAAGCACAGGAACAATGGTATTTATTTATGACCAGCAATATGCTTTTTGCAACAAATTGCTCTTCTTGTAGGACTATACTTCCCTAAAGCAGCTGTGCTGTTTGCTTCCAGGTTAGATCTTGTCAGAACAAACCTGTTCCCACAACCCTTCTTCATTTTTTTTGTAGATGCGAGGTTTCCTCTCAGGAAACAGGGAGCGAGATGGAAATGGATGTTCTTTTAAAAATGCTAATGTAGATCTAATGTGGGAAACAAAGTGGGGTGGCTCAGCCAGGGGCGATGTGGAAAGATTCTGAAAAACAAAATGGTAGCAAGAGCTGCTTGACATTCAAAATACAAAGTTCTTAATTATTCTGCCTCTTTATAATATTATTTCCCACCCTCCCCAGTAGTACACTGGGAAAAGTTTTGACAGACTGTGCCCAGACAAAAAAAAAGAAAAAAATCAGTTGCTTGTACCTGTAAAATCTGTTCATCATCTTGTTCCAACCAGAAATCCACATGTGGAAAAGGCCTCCAAAAATAAGGCCCAATATGTAGTTGTTCCATCTTTGCATCGTAAATGTTAGTCAGCTGCAACAACACAGGGAGCCTCACGCGTTAGGCAGTCACACCCCTGGGCCGCACAGCAGAGCCCTGCACCTGGGAGGCCTCAGGCTGCAGCTTCTCTCAGACCTGCTGCGTGCCAGCCCCGCCCCGCAGCGCTCCCCCTGCGCTGAGATGAACCAGTTAATTCTGACAAACAGCGAACCCAGAGCGGAAGGATCCTGCAGGGACCGTGCCCGTGACCTGCACCTCCGCACACGAGCTGCCCTGCTGAAAGCTGCAGGGGAAGAGCTGCGCTGCCCAGACACGGCTCAGCAGCAGCAGCCTGATCTCCACCGTGTTATCCTGCACCTCTGCGCTTTCCTCTTTCTCATGTACTTTGTTACTAACAGAACACTACTGAAGTCCTTTTTCCTCAAACTTTTGACAAGTCATTGCCCCTACTTGGTCTCCCCTTCTGGCAAAAACACCCTTTTTTCCCCCTGTTGTTTTCACTCACTGTTGCTCCTGTTAAGACACGGGCTGAACGCAAATCCTCATCTGGCCCTTTTTCTGGGAAGGTTGCAGGGAAGATCTCTGCTGTTTTAACATTCACAGCTGGTAGGAAAGAGAGTTTAAACACAGAAACAATTCTTACAAAAACACTTGTTTAAAATGACCATGTTCCCCAACCCAACTATTGTTGCAGGAACTTTAGAACCCAAATACTGCTCTACCACAGACCCCTCAGCCTGCGATTGCATATTTCTATTGGTTTTGCTTTAGCAGCATTTCAATATTCCCAAAGAATGTTTTCAGAACTAAACTAATTAGAAAAACTACAGAATGAACAACAAAAAGAAGGTTGAATTCCAATCCCCAAAGTTAGTACAGTAGCTTGAGACAGACAAAATCTTAGGTACAGTTAAATGAAAAAAATCTGCATTTGTACACAGCCATGTCCATGTGTGCATCTCCCTAACTGGGGTACTGGAAGAAAACCTATTTCTACCTACGTCTCTGACAAGCAGCACTTCACTTTTAGGACAGGCTTTACTTAATCATTAAAAGCAGCCCATTTTCTATTGGAATCTGAAAAGCAATCCAGTTACAAAAAAATAATTGAATTGAATTGAACTCGCCTATTCCATAAATGATTGGAAAGTGAATATCCTTTTCTTCTCTGTCATTCAGTTCTGTAAGAAAAAAATAAAGTAAAACTTGTAGGCCTTTGTATTTTTGTCTGAGCAGCATTCATTCAGTTGTGTGTTACCAGAGAAGAACAGATCTGATGCTGCATAAAGACAGAAAAAAACCAAGGAAGCCTAAAAGAAATATGGAAAGGAAGGTACGGGTCAGTAACAGCAGGCTTGGGGCCTGGAGCAGAACTCCATCTCCTACCAGCATGGCCAGTGCTGGCCAACTGTCACTCCCCTTCCTGCAAGGGCAGTTCACAGGAAAAAATGAATAATGCAAAGCTGCCACAACACCGAGTTTCAAAGATGTAAATCACCAACAGAGTTGAAATGCGAAGATGATGGAAACATGATACGAAGAAAAGGAAATGACATTCCTTTATGTGACATCACATGCTATGAACTAACAGACTGAGCTGACAAATACTTTGAAGCTGGAGGGAGGCAGGTCTGGCAGCCCAGCAGGGTACAGGTCTGCAAGTGCCTCTCTCCAGTGCTTCGAGACACCCGTAGCCACCAGCCTCTTTCCACAGGCCAAGGTGGTGAAATAACCTGGAAATGATCCCAGGTGGTTCTACTCTCAGTTACATTTCAGCACCACTTGGTAAGGAGAGAAGCCTTGCTGCATGGTCTATTTGACATCACCACCCACACTACCAGCAATAAAACTAAAAATGACAAGGCATTATGGAGGCCTCGTGCTGCAGATAAAAAGGCCGTGTGGGGAAAGACCCCTGCGCTTTGATTTCAGCAGCTAAAGATACTTCAAAAACCAAGGAGACATTTTCTTACCTGTTACGCAGAAAGTCACTAAGTGAACGTCATCTGGCTGGAGATCGAATGCTCCTACAGCAACAACGATAGCAGCAATGTATAAGACTGACTGATGGCAAAGCAGGAGCTGTATCTAGACGAGGGGGCATTATCAGTGCTGTGCACTGCAGAGCAGATGGGCACAGATACCCAACGCACTGCTCTAAGGCAACAGAGCAAAAAGCGTTTTGCACATTTGCTTCAAACCAACTTTTATAAAGCCACAGCTACTAAACGTAACAGTAATTTACAGAGAGTAGCCATTTGTAATAGCAAAAACATGCTAAAGAAGTGTCACGTACTCCTCTTACTGACACTGATCTAGCTCTGCCATCACATCAGCTCTGCTTTACTTCATTACACATTTAACAGCTTATCTTTAAATGTGTTTTCCTAAAATGTTACATATATAGTGAGCAAACCCAGTCTCCCATTAGCTGTAAATTAATTCTGCTTTTCACCAACCCACACACTAGAAAAAAAAAAAAAAATCTCTTTTTTCAAAGTTCTAATAGCAGTACAGCATTACCATTCCAAATTTTAACTTGATGCATGAAAGATGCATCAGAATATTGAAAAAAGAAATTAACCAAAACACATGATTCTGTACAGAACTCTCATATAACACAGGTAACAGGAATCACCAGGTGCAATGGCCACGTGGGTGCATCCCAGGACCTTTGTGGGTTCTGCTCTCCTTTTTGTTTATCCCCTTGGCCACCTCCCCTCAATCCTGACACCTGCCCCCGTCCCTGCCCCTTCCCCACTCCAGTGGGGCCGAGGCCTCTCCACACTCAGGAGTGCTCATGAGCCAGAGCACTTACAGGTAAGCAGGTCCTTTACGCTTCCAATTTGTTTGTAAAGCACCACCACCACTTCTCTGGACTACAGATTTTGTAAACAGACATAACATCTTTCATCAGACATTTCCAAACAATAATTAATTTTTACCTCTTCACATTAAGGTACAAAATGAATAGTAACTCATGAAGCCACCCACATGTGTAGATTTTAGACAGTGACAACACTCGACCAAGATCACGTGGCATATCGGCAGCAGAGCCAGGAATCAAGCCCAGCTGAACTGCACTCAATTCTACACACTAGAATATGAGCCAGGGCGAAATTACCAGTTTAGACCCTGTGTCCCACACACTGGCCATGCGTGGGCCTCACAAGTCCAACCCCTCTCCACAGCAAGTTCTCAGGTAGAGAAAAGACCCTTCAAAACATATCCAGATTTCCTTCCATTAAATGACAGGGGGCTCAGATTACAAACAAACTGTACCCAAATCCAGTCAGAACTATTTTTTCTTGGACATGAGAGTGGAAAAAATGTGAACTTACTAAGAAGCTGATTAGTAAGTTTTTGTGATAACTGCCTATCATCATTGAAACCTCCAACTAGGTGCACTTCCAGCCTAACAGAGATGGAATAACAGGAAACAGCAATTAAAAAAAACAAAGTGAATAGCTTTACAAAATAATCCCCAGCCCAAACTGCAAAGCAATCATTAGAGAAGCCTTACTTGTTACAGTCACATGCACCAAGTTGGTTTGCATTACATAGCAAGTTATGGTAAATCCATTCCGAACGCTTTGGGGATCATCCAGGAAATAGCACAAATTTAAAACTTTAAGGGGCATTTCATGCATGCAAATCCATCTAACCCAGTGGTACCTCGGGTGGTCAGGACCTCTGTGGACTGAACTTAGTAACCACCTTTCAGTTCCCCAGAAAGGGTTAATTAAACATGAAGATTTTTGCTCCTGTGACCTCCTCACAACTAGTTTCAACCATAAAGCAGGGTTCTTCTCTGAGAAGTGTCTATGTAAAGACAAGCCCTGACAAATCATGAGTTTTTTGAGACCATATCATCTAAGTTTATTGAGGATTTTGTTCTTACCAGACTACAGGGACAAAAAAAAAAACCACATCCAGAAAGAACCTTGTTTGCTAAATTCCATTTCAAAGCTTTTATCCCCCACTGTCCTGCTCCATTTTGGTTTTTTAAACGTGGGACTTAGAAAAATCACAGATGGATCCTCAGATTTCAAAAGGATTTTACAAGACCAACAGTCTGGAAGGAAAAATTTAACATAAAACCAAGAACAATTCTTTGGAAAATTTCACACATTTGAAACAAAAGTTAAGTGGGAAACAGTAAACACAAAACCTCACAATGGCATTTTACAGAGACACTATTCAGAACAGAACCATGCTTTAAACCACTGCTAAAAATACCCTCAGAATCATCACCAAGGAAATAATTTTCACTTTACACATGGTTCCTGATCAAGAGATATTCCCTTCATAACAATCTTGTCCGAACCCCATATAATCATGTAAAAATTCCCCACCTTACAAACTGCAGTAACCTTTGTGAAAAACAGTACACAAGAAATAAGAGCAGAGCTGACCTTCCATATCCTGTGGTGTCAGACAGAGATTTTACTGAACTCATGATGAGCGACACCTCAGCTTCCGTGTCGGATCCGTCGCAGTGTGTCAAGCAGGTAGCTCCGCTGCCTGAGGAAGGTGTGAGAAGAGTTGGTTAATGATGTTGCTGGAGGCCCTTACGCTGCTGTAATTGAAACGGTTATTGCTGCTATAGTAGGGCAGGAGCTATTCCCACCACCACCTGGCTTCCTCTCAGGACATCAGCTTCCAGCAGATCTGGGCTGACTGAGCGAGGCAATAACCTCTGCGCGTGCCCCGTTACAAAGTCACCAGACCCGTGTGACGGTTACAAGTGCCCTCCTAACCAGGACCAGGCAATGTCTCTAATGTCAGAAATTCAGGCGTGTAGCGAGGATCTTTGCAAAAATTCTACCTTCCACCTCTGGCAATAACAATTACGAAACCCTGCAGGCCCAAACAGCTGAACACAGCCAAGGTCTGCAACTGCCACTACCCGCTGGCCACGGGAGAGATGAAGTTTAGGAACTGCTCACTGAACAACCAGAACACGGAACCTCTGACACTAAACACACCAACTCTTTGAACAAGTCATTAGTTCACACATCATGTGACTTTTTGAGATTCAAGTTTATATAAATTGTGGTTATTTTATTAATGCAGCATAAACCAACACTAATTCATTGCTTCAGGGTCCAGATTTTGTTCTGACCACCCTTTGAAGATACCTGTGTGTCGGAGCACAACTATGTGGCAGGTAGTTGCATCATCTGATCCAAGAATTGAAACAGAACCTATTTTAAAGGAGAGAAACACTGTAAGAACTCTGCTCCCACTGTTTCATCAGAAGAAAAAAAAAATGTTTATGTTCTCACACACCATCTTTAGGGGTAGTCACTGCAAACTCTCTCTGCTGGACATACAGAAGACCTCTGGGTTCCACAATTTGAGCAGGCTGACTTCTCAGAAGTTTTGCCTTCTCCTAAAGATAAATGATAACAGAGACTACAGTGGCTGAATTCTCAAGTGTACCATTACTTGATAGAAACATCACTTCTGAAAAGCGAAGGGATCCAGGTCAACGAGAAATACACATATTTTGTATTACGGAGTATTCTGAAGTTTGAGAATTTTCCACTTTCCTGCCGCTGATCTAGTTAATTGTTAAATCCCATCATTTCACAGACACAGAAACGCCTATTTCCTGCTTTACAGATGATAAAATGGAGGTACAACAAAAAGCAATAGGACTCGGCAAAGATTACAACACCAGAGCTGATCTTGGAAGTTTAATGAGGACAGGAAACAAAATGTAAAGGTTTCATTCTTCTACTGCCACAATCTAAATATTTATTTAGTACATATCAAAGTATTGCTATTTATTAGCTTGCTTAGGATATAAACCCCCCTGATTCTTGTCACAGACCCTCTGGATAGGGAGTGAATTTCCATCCTGGGGCTCAAACCCCACTGTTTTTCTGCAAAACCGCAGTTTCTATACGGAAAATAAAGAATATAAAGAATCTTCTGATGAGAAACACCTGCCCAACAGCTCTGCTCAGCGGCCCCTGGCCGACAGTCCGCCGTTAGGATTACAACATTTATACACCGCAAGTGAGGTTAACACCCTGAAAGTCACTAGCTTGACCTTTATCGCCAGTTTTTGTTATTTCGCTCAGAAAGAGGCGGCCCGGCGCTGCCGCCGCACCCCGCCCGGGCAGCTGTCTC